TTGTTGCAGAGGAGGCTAGACAAGGTCGCGGTGGGGAGGTGGAAGGAGACGAGGGGAGGGAACTATGGAGAGCACCAAAGACAGGAGATCGAGGATTTATCACATTAACATAGAGATTTGAAAATGTTTAATAAATTACAGAATGTTTTCCCGCCTATTTGGTACTAAATATAAAATTATACAAATATTAGAATAATTGAAATTGAAAAATGGCCTAAAACACGTTGACGATAATAAATGACCGGCTCAAGTATACAATTACTGGTCATAATAGGCTGGCACATTATTGAAAAATTGGAAAAATCAAAATAATTGGAAAATTAGGAAAAATCAACATTAGAGAGCTTTTATTTTCCATATGTATTCTTTGAAAAACATACGGTGTTCAAGAAGAAATTTATTAAGTATAATTAAAATTTTATACAAAATATACATATATTGAAATTTTCGATAATAATTTATTAATTCGAAAAATGAAAATTCTTAGCATTATGGGGACTCTTTTTTTTGGCCCATAAATAAAATTTCAAAGAAATAAATATAAGTTTAATTACTAAAAATGTAAAAAAAAAAAGGAAAATCCACAATAAAAACTGCAGATGCTTCTCGTGTAGTGAAATTGTTCATGAACGAAATTAAATTCACAAGATATTTTTGGAAAATTTATTGAAAATTTTGAACATGATCTGTGTTGTTAAACCTTTTATTGTTTGGCAGTTGGACAGTTTTTTTCCAACTCCCTTTTGTTCAACTTAAATTATTCTCAATAATATGATGTTTTAAGATTTATTTGTTGTTGCAGGATTTGGTTCATTGGGCTTGATGACGTCTGTATTGGTAATTACCAAAGTTTAATTGCTCTAGTTTCAGTCTCTACTTATCCCATGTATAGGTAACAATGATTGTAACATAATTATAGTTATCATCTGACGGGAAAACATTAGAAGCTGAAACAGCACATGGGACTGTGACTCGACATTTTAGGCTACATCAGAGAGGACAAGAGACTAGCATGAACAGTATTGCATCAGAGAGGATCTTGCACTCCTTATCCATGGTCCAAGGTATGCTCAAGCAAATTTTTGTCCCCTTCCATTTTTTGCTTGAATATTAAATATTTCTTTTAAATATTGAAAATCTGCTTCATTGTGACATCGGTGTAGTGCTAAATTCAAATCCTTGTTTGGTACTTCCAGAAACACTTGGAAAGGTTGAAGAAACTGACTCTTAACTAGGAATTGCAGAAGCATTGTAATTCAATTGAAAAAGAAAAACTAGCTTGATGGAACATGTTCCTTAAATGAGAAAAGATTGGGAAAGTAAAGAAAGGAGTCTATATGGAGTCTGTTGATGCTGTTGATTGTTTTGAGTAAGATCCACGAAATATGTTTAGTTCATTTAGTATATATGGAGTCTAAGATCTCATATAGGCACATGGTCTTATCTTTCGTGCACGAGTTGGATTTGAAGAGTATGTCAAAAATTTACAGCATCTGATGAGCATGAAGGCTATTAATAATGAGGTTTTGTCTATACAGAACAGATATCTGAAGAAAAACAGTTGGTTGTTGCTTACATATCAGGAATAACAATGGTAAGCCTAGTGTTATTGTCTTTACCGCAGCTTAGTAGTAGTGCTCGAGCCATATGATTTATATGCCTTCGCATCATACGAGTGAACGACGGCATCGAAGTAAAAACTGACAGCCAAATGTTCTGACTGGCTTAAGAAGCCCTCGAAATCATTTTGATCTTTATCGAAAGCCCCTAAGATCAGCGTCACAATGTCATGTCAGATTAGATCTAAATCAAATTTGAAACTGTATCGGCTCCAATTCACATAATTTTATTTGTTTATTTAAAAACTTTTTGTTTCAGCTCTAATATGTCACATGGAATAGTTTTAATTTTTTGTAAAAAAAAAAATACACGCCTGCATGGTACTAAATAGTTACAACATAACTCGAATTTTACAACTATGGACAATGCAAATATCTTCTCAAAAATAAATACCAATGCTCTAAAAGGCTAAATTCCTTTTCGGATTAAGTGAAGTGGACGTATTCCATGTTCCAATTCCTCGGGACAACAAGATGCTTGATGAAAGAAGTGGAGAAACCACATCTTGAGAAGTGGATGACAATATAAACTCCCAAGTGTAAACATAATCTAAAAAAGTGATGTTGTATTGGGTGCGTATGTGTGTTGTGTGTGTATATGTGTTGTGTATTTGTGTGTGTTGTGTGTGTTGAGTTGTGAATGGTACTATGTGTATGTATTGTGTCTATGTGTGTTATGAATGTGATGTGTGTTGTTAATAATATGTTGTGTTGTGAATGGTATGTGTTGTGTGTATGTATTACGTGTATATGTATTGTGTAGTGTATATGTGTATGTGTATGTAGTGTCATGTGTTGTGTGTTGTGTGTGTGTTATGTGTGTATGTGTGTATTATGTTGTGTATGTGTGTATGTGTTATATTGTGTATGTGTTGTGAATTTTATGTGTATGCGTATTGTATTTGTGTAATGTGTAGTATGTATATGTATGTGTTGAGTTATGTATGTATGTGTTATATGTGTGTTGCCTTCCGAGGACGCTGCTGCTGTTATTGGGAGAAGGATGAGGTGGAACCACCACCACGACCATGTCAATATCAACAACAAAGAGAACATGTGACAATCAAGTCAGGAGGAAATTTGCCATGTTTGACGATGCAGCTTCTGTGGCGATTTGTCGGAGGATGCAGCCTTGTGTCGGTAGCCCTGTAAACAAAAATACGGGGCGGAGGGCAAAGGGAACACTCAGTCAAAACAAGACTACGGAAAATAAAAAGAATAATGTCGTATGTTAGAAACGAGCAAAAACAACACTAAGAAAGAGGGTGTAAATTAATACAACGGATAAAAACATCGATTTTAAAAAATCTTTTGTATGATTAAAAACGATCTAAAAAAATATTAAATTGAAAGCGTACGGGAGCCTCGACGGAAGTAAAGCGTACGGGAGCCTCGACGGAAGTAAGAAATCAGTTTACAATATAAAGTAAATTACAATAAAAGTAAATAGCAAATCATAAATACAAACTGATTTATAGTGGTTTGGTCATCGTGACCAACATCTACTCCACTGATTCCTCTTCCGTCGAGGCTACCGACATCCACTAACAGTCTTCCTTCAATAGGCGAAGGCAAAGACCAATCATCTTCTTACAACTCTATTCTCCTTTTGACAGGCTCAGGAGAGAACCCTTACACCCCCACGTCTTTTTTTCTTTTTGCTCTCAATTGTGTCTGTTAACTAGGGATGAGAGGAATATTTATAGACCTCAAATTGATTCAAACTTGATACTGACACTAGGCGGTACCATCGCCTGACACCTTGTCACTGGGCGGTACCACCGCTTGACAGTCTCGGAGACTGCGCCATGATGGTTCCACCTATTGAGTCACTGTTTAACCCAATTATATGCTAACTACAAATTTTAAGGCATATACTAAGCTAAATAAGTCCGGTAAGTCTAGGTTTTTT